CATACAATGTATTGTTGGCTATTGCTACAAATATCCCCCAGCGACTTAACACTGCTTTTGTGCTCCAGGGTCACACGTCAATAAAATAATAGTAAAATCAATCCTGAAATAAACTAGAACAGTATGATGAAGTAAGGTGTGTGTACCTGCAGCAGGTGGTAGAGCGGGTATTTGCGGGCCTCGCTGAAGAGCTGCTGCTTGATGCTGGTCAGAGGAGCTTCTCTCAGACACTCCAGACTCACCAGGATCCCGTTCGGAAGACAGCAGTCCACCAGGATCCGAGGAGGCATCAGGTGAAGCCCCCATAACTCTCCTGAGGATGGCCGAGGAGCCATGCTGGCCCCGAACACACACACTCAACACCTGCACACACACACTCACACACACACACACACACACAGAGAGAGAGAGAAATCAGGCTGGAACGTTTCATCACACTGCAAAAAATCTTTTCTTCCTTAGTATTTTTGTCTTGTTTTCTAGTATAAATATCTAAAGATTCTTGAATCAGGAAGCATTTACTTGAAAGTAAAATGACTTAAGATATTTTGTCTTGTTTTCTGAAAATATTACCCAAATTTTGTTAAGTGTTTGTTTTAAACGAAAAATAAAGCATCAACAAGTGTTGACATTTCCCAACAGCACAGCAGTAATGACTTTACTTCTAAGATCGATACTATTAGAGATAAAATTGTAACCATGCAGCCGTCAGCTACAGTATCACATCAGATAGTGCGCTATAGATTCCCAGAGGAACAATTCCACTCATTCTCTACTATAGGAGAGGAAGAATTTTATAAACTTGTTAAATCATCTAAACCAACAACATGTATGTTAGACCCTATTCCAGCTAAGCTCCTAAAAGAGGTGCTTCCAGAAGTCATAGATCCTCTTCTGACTATTATTAATTCATCATTGTCATTAGGATATGTCCCCAAAACATTCAAACTGCCTCTCATCAAAAAACCACAACTTGACACCAAAGAACTAGTTAATTACAGACCGATCTCAAATCTCCCTTTTCTGTCAAAGATACTAGAAAAGGTAGTATCCTCACAATTATATTCCTTCTTAGAGAAAAATGGTATCTGTGAGGATTTCCAGTCAGGATTTAGACCGTATCATAGTACTGAGACTGCTCTCATTAGAGTTACAAATGACCTGCTCTTATCATCTGATTGTGGTTGTATCTCTCTATTAGTGCTACTGGATCTTAGCGCTGC